TTAGTGTGTAGGAGGCAACAATGGCAGAAAGGGGGAGTAAGAGGAAAGTCACACCTGTCCCGTATACCATGAGCTCATACCTGGATGTATCATCACAGGCCAACTTCAGCAAGGGTGGAATCTCACAGAGCAGGTGCCTGATTTCCCAGGACAAGCAGAAAGAAAAGTGCATGGTGTACATGGTATGTCCTAGAGCATTCAGGGATGCCAGGATCCAGGATGTGGCCACCATGATCCAGCAGACCCTCGGCCTCATGAGGACTGTGTAGTTCAAAGGATGACAAATGGCCACGTACCTGTCATAGGCCATGAAGGCCAGTAGGAGGTCCTCTGTACCACCCAGTGTCAGTGCCAGGAACATCTGAAGGGCACAGCCTCCAAATGAGATAGTGTTTTCTCTGCGCAGAAAATCCACAAGGGCCTTGGGAGTGACAACAGATGTGAACAGGAGGTCCATGAGAGAGAGCTGCCCGAGCAGGTGGTACATGGGCACGTGGAGCTGGACATCCATCGTGATGACCAGGAGCATCAGGCCATTGCTGGTCAGGGCCAACATGTACAGGACTGCGACTGTGGCACAGAGAAGTTCAGGGGACTGGCTGTCATTCAGAATCCCCACCAAGATGAACTCAATTCCCAATGTGTAGTTCCAGAACTCCATTCTGAGTGGTTCTCTTAGTTGCCTAGTACCAGATGGATTCTCAGTGAAAGCCTTTCCAATGGAGTTTACCCTAGCTTCAGATTGTCCCAGCTCACTGTGGGGTGGCCAAAAGGAATTCTATGAAATAATACGTTTCCCTCTTGGTACCTAATTTTGTTTTGTCTAATTTGTGAATTCCTGAGTGTTTTTCTTTTTTTCTTTTTTTTTTTTTTTTACGGAACTATGATAAAACACCAGCTAAGAAGGAAACAGTCATAATGTCAGAAATTGCTAATTGTTAAGAAATTCCTTTTTATGAGGTATTCTGGAGAACAATTCCAAGCAAACATCTTTGTACATAGATGAAGGTATCTTTCCGTTCATGTTAAACAAATACACTGGGCATTGGTTTAACCTCTAGCTGGTTTTCTGCTTAAAATCTACTTGGGATTCCAATTCAGTTGTTAAAGTTTTGCTTGTAAAAATCCCTTTGTTGTCTTCTCCCCTACACCTTTACTCTCTGGTGTCACTGCTCTTGATA